CCATTTGTCAACCAGGACCGCTTCCCCCTTCCCGCCTTACTTCCCCCAGTCATTTCCAGGCCATCTTTGACTTTATCGTCCTGGTCCTGAGGCCTCAGGTTGTATGTCTCATCAGGGTTTTGTTATCCAGTCATTGACTGCCCATTATCACACAGGAAATACTGTGATGGGGTGACTCCGAGAAGAGGTAGTAAAGATATTAAAAGCTGGCAGTTGTTTTGCGGGACGGGGACCTCAGGTGCAGGGACTTTAGGTAATCGTATTCCTCATTTCTTGACGGTTTAAATCATCCACCTGTGATGCCCCTTCTCCTGTTTGGTTTTATTTTGTCTCCCCATCTCTTTCACAGAGGCAGTCAGTCTGACGTCCTTGGTTATGTCTGAATCCATGTAAAATATATGGTGTTCCTTTGTATGTGTTTGTAGTTCACATGGATGGTGTTACATGTCTTGCTTTGTTTCTTATGTGTTTCAGCGCACAGGTCTAGTTCAATGTGTCTGACGCTGCAGTGATTTCCATGGTAGGTGGCCCCCACCCCAGTGTTCTTCTCTTCTTTCCTAGTCTCGACTGAACTCCCTGGTGCTGCAGAGTCCATGGATGACCATGGCTAGGATGACCATGCCTATGGGTCGGTGTGAGTTTGGGTGTGTTTCTAGGAATGGGATCCTGGTTATATGGGTTCACTGGCTGTAGGGAGGGTGGACCGAACTGGTGTACACTATTATTAGCGGGAGATGAAGTCCTCATCTTATAATGACCTGGACACTTGGCATTTTCTGTCTGCATAACTTGTGAATAGAAAATGGTGTCAATTTCCTCATTTCTGATTGCTAGTGAGGTGAGGGAATCTTTTTACATACTCATTAGCCATTTGGGCTTCTCCTTTGTGAATATTTTGTTTTTCTGCTGTATTTTATGCCTTTTTCTTGTTGATTTGGAAAAGCTATCTGTATATTCCTGACATTAATCTGTGAACATTTCAGACATTGCACATATTGTATGAATTTTTCTCTGATATGTCTGTGTTTGGTTGCTGATATTTGGCTTAAGACTTTCTCGGTCTTCTTTCAATTGTGGGCAGGAATGAAAGTCGAGGAAGAGAGCTTGATTTCTTATTGCTTTCCTGTGGAAAATTCCACAAGGACCTTCAATTTACTAATTTTTCCCCATGTTTATGTGCAGTTTTATGTAAATGCATCTACCAGATGTCAGCTCAAGCCCTTTCTTCAGAGCTGGGTGAAATTGCTGTGAAAAACTCATCTCTCAATTTGCCGTTATCAAATAAAGTAACCCTTGAGTTTTACAAATTCTTGGACACTTGTATTACCAAGATCCCCTTTACTTTGGGCCTCTTCTGTATCAACATGATAACTGAATGTCCCCTTTTCATTTGTTTCTGTAAGAAATTAATCTGCACCACACATTTGCCAATTTTAAATTGGTGTCTAAAGTTGAGGGGGTTATAGCATGGTGTCACACCTTGAAACTTAACTTCTGTCACCTTGTTTTCTTTTTTAAAATATATTATATTTTATTTTATTTCTTAACTATTTTATTGTTCAATTACAGTTGTCTGCATTTACCCCCCACCACTCCCTGCCGGCCATCCCCACCTTCCTGCCTTGTTTCCGCCCCCTTGGTTTTGTCCATGTGTCCTTTATAGTTGTTCCTGAAACCCCTCCCCCTCATTACCCCTCCCACCTCCCCTCTGGTTACTGTCAGATTGTTCTTTTTTTAAAAAAAAAATTAATTTATTTTTAGACAGAGGGGAAGGGAGGAACAAAGAGAGGGAGCGAAACATCAACATCTAGTTGCCTTCTTTTTGCCCCCAACCGGGGACCTGTCCCGCAACCCAGGCATGCACCCTGCAGTTGGCATCCAGGCATGCGCCGGAATCCGACTGGTGACCCTTTGGTTTGCAGACTGGCACTTGATCCACTGAGCCACACCAGCCAAGGCAGATTGCTCTTAATTTCAAAGTCTCTGATTCTATTTTGCTTGCTTGTTTGTTTTGTTGGTTAGGTTCCACTTAAAGGTGAGATCATATGGTATTTGTCTTTCACCACCTGGCTTATTTTACTTAGCATAATGCTCTCCAGTTCCATTCATGTGTTGAAAAAGGTAGGAGCTCCTTCTTTCTTCCCTCTGGTTAGTATTCCACTAATGTACCACAGTGTAAATGTACCACTGTTTTTTTTATCCATTCATTTGCTGATGGGCACTTGGGTTGCTTCCAGCAACCTATATATTGAAAATTGTGCTGCTGTGAACATTGGGGTGCATAGGTTCTTTTGGATTGGTGTTTCAGGGTTCTTAGGATATAATCCCAGCTGTGGAATTGCTGGGTCAAAAGGCTGTGCCATCTTTAGTGTGTTGAGGAAACTCCATACTGTTTTCCACAGTGGCTACACCAATCTGCATGTCACCTTGTCACCAACTACAAGCACCAATCTGCTTATCACCAACACTCTGTCACCTTGTTTTCTTGCCTTCTCCTCACTTCATCTTCATTGCTGTAAAGTCTTTTTCTCCATTAAGCTGAGCAATTTGGCTCTCTCCAAATTGAACTATTCTGACCCCCAAATGCTTAGCAAAACAAAATGTTCTCTTATTAGATTAACACCTGTATAAGCTAGCTGGGTTGAAAACAGTCCCTCCAAAGAGAAATTCCTCTCTAATATTGCCCAACTAGTAAATGGTTTTGAAATAGATACAACCTAATGAGAGGTGTGGTGGCTTATTTTTCAGAATGCACTTTTTTTTTTTTTTTTTGCATCAGGGTGGGTGAGCCTTTTTGGAAGGGGAAACGGTATCCAGAGCAGAGTTGCCTTTTCTCTTTCTATGGGCACTAAGGCTTTAGGTTGGTTTTATTAGTACAAGTTATAAAAAGAACACGGATCTTGGAACTCACTGTACTCTGATACTTGTCCTCTGTGTGATGTTGGATGAGTGTTGTATGCACACTCACCCTGTCCTTTGACAAATGAGGATGCTAACACCTACTCTATAGGTTTGTTTGGAGAATTAGAGGTAACATCGAGGGCCCAGTATGATTTCTGCCACAGAGCACTTGATCCTTACACGCCGGGCCATTGTATACTCCAGTGTGACAGTGACGACCTCCGGAAGGCATCACAAGCACCTGGCACATCCTTTGGCCTGGCTGCTGGACTGCTTGAGTGACAAGTAACTGATGAGTGGTATTTTTGTCAAAGTGCTGAAGTTTTTGGAAATTTTCAATTGGATTTTCACAAAGCAGCTTACTTAGCAATTGATGATCCTTGATGGTCCAGGGCTCTTCATTTTTTGACATAATTTATTGTCACAAAGACTGTATTTGGCTTTGGCTTTAGGTAGTAGGAGGAAACCCTGAGTTCTCTCTTTTAGACTAATAGCACACATAGGGAAAGTCATAAAACGATTAGACTTCAGGTACTTCTGAACACCTGTGACAAATAAGGCTGCAGCATCTTTCTAAGTAAGACTCAGGGTGAAACTAAAAAGTGTCCTTCATACTCTGTATCCATTAGAATTTGGGAGTACAAGCATCTGTCTCCCTTGCTGCATAATTAAAGTTTTGTGAAAAGTAAAAGGAAATAAAGAGGATGTTATCAGTGTGTCCCAAAAGACGTGTGTTCATTACAACTTCATCTGACTTCAATGTTCATATGCATTGTTTCTAAAAATGTTTACACCAAGTGAAGTTTTATATGGGAAAAAATTTCTATTGGTGTCTACAAAATTTTCAGCTACATATTTGTATAGAAAAAAATGTTACCTTCCCCTGACAGGTATGGCTAAGTGGGTTGGGAATGGTGCCAGAAACCAAGCCTGTTCGATTCCTAGTCAGGGCACAAGCTTGGATGGTGGGCCAGGTCCCAGGTTGGGGTGTGCAAAGGACAACCAACCAATGTTTCTCTCACACATTGATGTTTTTCTCCCTCTTTCTCCCTCCCTTCCCCTCTCTGTAAAAATAAATATAAATAAAATCTTTTTTTAAAAAAAGGAAAGAAATTTGCCCTTGAAACAAGCCATCTGTAAGAAAATCGAATACAGTGTAATTAGATGACTAGTCTATTTAGTTTTTTTAGCTACTGCATGATGATGTAGCCAAGTGGACAATCAGTTTACATGGCCAGTTTGTATGCAGTTAGAAGTCCCTATAATATGCAAACTCATGACACAGTGAAATATAGGTTTGGTTCTTTGTTGAGCTTGTGATTCTCTTTGGCACTTGAGAGCCAGTGACCTTTCTCCACGTAATCAGGAGAGCTTGTTGGTTGGAGGAACCACTCAATCCAATCATGGCACATCCTTTAAAATCCATTTATTTCTCTAGGACCCAGGGTTGCTTGTCTCACCCCACTTGCCACTTGGTCTGTACCCAGTCTAGATGGGCTCTGTCCAGCTGTGGGCTTGGAGACTGACTTTCCCCTCTTGAAGGGCTTGCTTTTCCTCCTGAAGTGTGGGATAACATGGGACCTTCCCTGTGCTAGGCAGGACCACTTAGAAGTAAAGGGGAGCCAACCTCAACTTTGATAATGGGAAGTGAGAACCGGTAGATAAAGTCTTATGAATTATCCTGAGGTGCAGTATTCTTCTGGCTCCTCAGAGATGGTCTCGCACGATTGAATTCTCAGCGGTGCTTAGTGTGGCCAGCTCAGCAATGTACCCTTGTGCTTACTCTCCTCCTCTACCTCATTCTCTGTCTCTTCCACTCTTATTTCCTTGAGGGCTACCATCCCTAAGAAAACAGTAGCACATAAGCTCCACCTTTTGAGGACACCCAGGCTAACACAGCTCTCTTCTCCTTTTAGTATGACGCACAGGCCATAGCATTTGATGACACAGACTTCACTGTGATTCCATTACTGTATGGTATAAAGGGATTCTATCTCTCAGAGTGTAACATGGAATATATTTTTTTCCAAGTAGCCCATGGATCCTAGAGCTATACTCTCAAAGGGCATCTCTAACCCTCTCCATTTCAGTGGTTCTAGTTTTTTTTTTTTTTTTGGTTTGAACTATTATTTAATGTCAGAAGTTGTGTATACAAACCTAATGAAAATTCTACTTATTTGCAAAGCTAAAATGCCTTGAGTAGCTAAGTATGAAACTAAGATGAGCTATAATCTCAAGGTGGGATGCCAACTAAATTTGTACTCTGGCTTCTGTTCATTCTAGATTATTAGAATTGTCCAGGTTTGTGATGTAATACCAGCTCCATAACCCAAATGAAGCCATTAGATGTCACTTTAGCTTTGGGTTGGCTTTGTTTGTACAGAAATTAAGACCTATTCCTAACTGGAATATAGGTGTAAAAAACTCTCCAACAGAAAAGGAATTAAAAAAAATCTCCTGGGGAAGGGAAATGAGTTCATTAGGTTGGAGTTGAGAAGGACATAATGTACAAAAGAGATAAATATACAAGTTATACACAGTCTTTTGAATATGGAATGGGAGGACTCAGAAAAATAGTACTTGGAACTGATCTGGCTCAAGGAAATAATAAATGCTTGCTGCATCTTACCTGGACTTGCCTCTTTCATGAGCCAGGTAGGATGGGATCAGACAGTTTCTTGGAAAGTGTTTATTTGGTTCATGTCCTGGTCAAATCATGCTGAGCACCCTCTGTGTAAAGGAGACTCCATTACTGTACTGAAAATAGATGTGCTTCCATATTGAACTTTTGGTGTGGACATTTGTTGCTTTTGCTTGCTTGCTGGTCCTCCCCACTTCTCAGAGTAGCAACACTTAGAATTTTCCCTGCCCCAGCTCTTAGTCCAGATGGGGCTGATTATCCTTCTTTCCCCCACTCAGTTCCAGGATTTTGGAAGACTGCCTTCAGAGCTAATTAGCAAATCTGTCTTCCTCAGCACAGTGATTGGCACATGACTCAATTTGGCCAATGAGGAGTAGGCCCATGATTTTTATTGGAACTATGGAGCAAAGAAACTCTCCGCTGGTTTGAAGCATAAGGCTAATCTTAGTGCTCTGGGGGCCACCATAAAGTAAAAGGCTATGCGAGTATAAAGTCTACCTGAGGAAAATTCCTGCAGAGGAAAAGAGGCACCTCCTGATAATACTGAGTGAAAGAACATCCCTATCCAGCCATGCCTGAAGCTGCCTACCCCTGGACATTCCACATATTACAGTCAATAAATTCCCTTCAGTCTTAAGCTAGTTTGACTTATGTCATTGTCAATCACTACAGAAAGAGTCCTAACATGTGTTCAGGGCAATGGGGATTGAGATATATGTTGACAGCTGATAGTAGTATAATGCCATTAATAATATTTTGAAACATTTTGAGACAAGAAGATGAATATATCCTTTGAGCTGCAAAAATTTCTCTCCTCTCCTCATTCCATCTCTGTGGCCTTCCCCCATGAGACATTCGCTTCTCTTTCCTGCCCCACCCCCATACCCTCCTGCCAAGGAAGTTTGCTTCTTCCAGTGGATGTTTCTGCAACAAATGCCTTCACCTCCCTGTCTCCCTTCCTATGGCAGCAGCTGACATGAGAAGAGCAGGCAGCACTGTGCCTATTTAGAAAGTAATAGTTAAAGAAAGAGACAGGAAAGTACATCCATTATAAGCTTTTTCTTTTTTCGAATTGAAGCTCATGACTTTATCTACGCCCACTATATTCATAATTACAGTTTAATGTCTGCATACAAAAGCTATGTAAAAATCCGTTTTTCCCAAATATACAAATTTTCTTTTTGGACAGTTTAAAACATTTTGATCACAGATTTCAACAGTTTTAGGCTGAAAAAAAAAATCCCTAATCTAGCAATATCACTTAACACTGTTTGCAAAACACGGGTCTTCTGATGACTGAGAGTCTTCTCTTATTCTTTAGCGATTTTATGGTTCCTAGGGCATGAAAACATCATGGGGGGGGGGGAGATGTGCTTTCTCTGAAGAAAGCATAGACATCTAATTTGGCTCTATAATTGAAGGAAAATGTGAAGTTAATTAGGAAAACCGAAAGAAAAATGGGGCAGCGTCAGCTCATTCATGCCCTGGTACCTTCCATGTCAACAGAACATGTGTAACGACGTGAAGTGTCTTTTCTCTTGACATTGTGCTCCGTAATTTGCTTTGTATTATCCGAGTCCTGAGAAGGACAGGTTTGTATTTGATTGTCTTGTGCATAAGGTGGGTCAGCTTTAACTGTGCAACAGAAAGCCACAAACAGCGTTTTCCCTGCATAATATTGCTCTCGAAGGCGGTGTTCATTAATGAATGTGGAGACACACTAGAAAAGCATTCGTTTTGCATTTGCAAACATTTGTACAACACAGTAAAAATTCTGTGATAAGGCCAAACCTTTTTTCCCCCTCGTCTGGTTTTTTTTTTTTTTGCATGTGTTTTTAATGTCTTTTTTTTTTTTTTTAAAGATTAAAGTAAAACATTTCAATTGTAAAAAATACACACCGGGCAAATCCTTACCTGGATAATAAATATCTACATCACAGTACAATAAAATTTCTTTTCTATAAAATTTAAATATGGATTATAGTCTATCACTATCAAAAGAAACACTATGCTACTATTTCCATATTATTAAAATAACAGGAAAGATGACGAGCTTATTTTAGAACCTGAAGCCATAGCCTTTGGAAAGGGCAAAGAGATTCAAATGTCTGTAAGCACTCTCCTTTTGAAGAGGAAATGTGGCTTGGTTAGTCACTTAAATTCAGTTCATGAAAAAGGTTTAGCCTTACAAATGCTGGCTACATTTCAAAAACCATAAGACTGATTTCATAATTTATGACTCATGCAGCAAAAGGTCAATATGACATGAATAGGTCAGAGTTTCACAGAAGAAAAACGTATCACTGACAATGACATGCCTTGAGGGCACTCAGCAGTTCCTCGGAGGCTGAGTTTTGGGGGGCTTAGTGTTGAGGAGGGGCCAAGGCTTGCACACCTGTTCACGGAAGAGCCGCGAGAAGGGCGTCGCTGGAACCGAGCCTGGGGGTCCGCCCCGATGACGATGACGGCGCTGCAGACCGAAGAGGTGTCCCTCGGACGCAGGTGAGCGGGACATCACTGGGCTGAGGCAGCAACACGGCCAAGTGCGTCACTGAGGACAGAAGCTTGCTGGGCTACAGAAAGCTCTAAGGTGGCACATGGTGTATTGAGCAGAATCATAAAGAAGAAAAGATCTTACTTTTCTCACTAGTTCTGAAAATACTGCACGTCTAAGTTGAAGAGCAAAGTACACTTGAGGGTAACGAACACACACACACACACACACACACACACACACACGCCATTCATCCCTAAAAGTTAAGTAATTTATAAATAAGAATCCCAGTTGTACAGGTACGTTCTCTTCCACTGGGATGTCTCCCCACTGAGAGGGGTTTCAGTCAAGTCCACACTTGATCTGACAGTCCCAACAGTATTTTAAAAAATGTTAAAAAAAATCCAGAGCAAATCCCTCCTAATTGAGTTTTATGAGATGGAGTCTTGAGATGTACCAGGTTCCTCAATGGGTTCCAGAAGAAATGAGTCACTTGGACCACTGGCGTCGTGATCCTTTGCGTTCCCATAACCTTTCCGTTCACCCTGAAGGACTTTAAGGCTTGTCCTCCTTAGCATCAACAAGATTTTTAGACTACTGGTTTGCCTGTGGAAGGCAATCATTTCAAAAGCTGAGGATCAAACATAGATTTACCGGATGACTGTAGATACACTGTACCATTTGGCCAATGCCCAGTCATGGTTAATCCACAAAGAAGTCCAATTTTGCTTCAGGTCAGGCTTTGTTCTTACATTTATTTGAATCTGGCTGTGTCTAATATAACGGGGAATCTCAAACAAATCGGGGAGGCTTTCTTGGGAAGGCTCAATGCCCCGGGAGTCCATGGACCTCCCAGTACCCCGCCTGCTTGCCTCTGCTCATTCCCTTCTGAGGGAAAACTTGGCCCACAATGCAAAGCTTCTCAAAGTTACACAGGAGCTAGGAGGTGACTGACAGGTTATGTTTCAAAGGGACTCAACAGAGGGAGCTGAGATGTTAACACAGCAAAGACTTAATCTAGAGGCTGCCTGGACAGCAAAAAACCAAAAAACTCTCTGTAGATAGAATCAAAAAAGGTAGTTTGCCCCCTGGACTTCATGTTTATACTTGTAATCTCTTCACCTACTTTTTTTTCTGTGATTAGCAAGTTCCACAGTGATGTTCTTGGTTCCTTTCCCCAGAAGCCGATATAATTGCTTTAGTGCATTAAACATATACTTTTCCTCTCAGATCGTTTCTGGTCATACTTGGGATTTTCAGTGCTGTGCTGTTCCTCTTCTGTTTCCAAGGCCGTTTTGCCTTTCCCGACAGGGCCGATGAGTAGTGTGTCAAATTCTTATTTTGAATCAATACCCAATATACTTTCCATATCTGTTAAGAGGGCCATCATTTTTGTCTAGTAAAGGTAGAAATTTGAATGTGAAAGAAGCCATCAAAAGAACCAGAATTTTACCCCCTGAAATTTGTAGAGTGTTAAGGATAGGAAGGAGTTAGAGTTTATGACTCATTGACCATGACCCAGGGTGAGAAACCAAGACCAAATCTACCCAGGTCACAAATCTATCAGTTGACAGAGCACAAACTGGAACTCAGGGACCCTGACTTCTGGACCAGTTAAAAAAAAGTAGCCTGCCTGGTTTTCACAGTGACTTTCATTCCTCTGTTTTTAGGTAAATCTTGCTGATATGGCTTATTTTCCCCAGTATTTCCAGGATAAGGCAGTACAAGGCAGGCTAAGGAATTATGCATGTCTACTATGCCCGTGAAGAAGGAGATACATTCAGTTGCATGGGTGCATTCTTTGCCCATTTTCTGAAGCTGAAGTGATGAGGCATCACCATTCATTTTCTGGGTACAAGCTACTCCAACGTTTGTCCTCAGGGAGGTGGGCTGGGTCGGGAAGATGAGTGAGGGGCCATGGTCATGGTCCGTGGGCATTTTCTGTTGAATATCTCTCAGGGCAATGCTACAGGGGGGACAGAGAGGGTCAGCGGCTGGACCAGTCTTTGTTTAATGATAGTCGAGCCATAGAGTCAGAGGGAAAAGGAGACGAGGAAACATTGGTGAATAGAGAAAAGAGCTTGAGGGTTCACGACCAGAAGAAAGCATCCTCTAACCTTAGGTAGTACATGAAGGGGGCTCTCAGACCACTGTGTTTCCTTCCACTTAGAATCTAACCGCACTTATCTCGGCTCAGAATTCCTCCCCAAGGTTCAAATTTCAGCTCATTTTCTCTCCTTGATTAGGAGATTTAATCCATAGGGAAATCTGTTATCAGCTCAGCAAAAATGCAATCAGGATAAATACCTTCAGGAGTTTGGGAGATGATGGATCAGATGTCATTGAAAAATGACAACGCTCTAAATAGGCTTAATTTCTATGGAAATTTTCTCTGAGCCGTAACTGTAAAGAAGCCTTTCCACTGTGAGGTAATGCTATGTGAATTTTTGGAAACTGTTGAATCATTGATAAAGATTTCTAAATTCTTTGGGCTCACAGAAGAAAATGTTTCTCCTGGTTGGTCTCAGTCAGTCAAGTACCTGCACATCTTTGAGTCACACCTTGTATAACGTGAATTAAACTATAGGATTATAAGAATTCCAGTGAAAGAACAACTGATTTGGGGGAACAAATATTTCTGTACATTCCATGTTATGCAGCTAGGAGAGAATGAAGAGTGCCGAAGACAGCATGCTCTAGAATAAACAAAAATCTGTTCGGACCTTTCCTTGGAAATTCGAAAGCCACTTCTAACCAAGGATGGTCTGCGTCCTGCTAACTTGAGCCCTGCAAAAATCAGGATTGGATCAAGATGACCACATTGTCTTAGTTTTAAGGCTTCTTTAGTCTTCTGCTGTGCCATTTTGCTTGCTTGAGTCTCTGACCAGAGACAGATGGGAGCTGGTGATGGCTTGGTGCTGGTGAATTAATGATGGTCCCCACCCCACCTCCATGGCTGTAAAACCTTCAAAGCATTCACATCAAAGGACTGGAGAACAAAACATGATAGTTACAAGTACCCGCATTCAAGGGGCAATTTCATCCATGTCTATGCCAAGGACTGTCTCCCTTTCTCCCTAAGCGATCCCTCCCAACACAAAGAAACAAAGGAACAGACAAAAAAAGATCTAGGCAATGGAATGAAATGACACCCAGTAGTGCTGTAGGAATTATGAGAACGAAGTCAGCCAGTCTAATCCTCAAACACTTCCAGGAACAGCGGGGGGAAGAGTTCCGTGGGGCATTCCACCTTCATGTGCAGGAAGCGGCTGGCATGGCAGGCTCCGATCATCCGCAGGTCTGTCACCTTCATCAGGAGTTTTGGCCAAAAGTGTGTCACGTGGTGTTTTCGGTAATTGATATAGTGTTCAAAGGCCAGCAGGAAACTATCTTGGTATTTTTCTATTCTCTCAACACAGGCGAGCCCTGGCCGATCTGAGGGGACAAAGAAGATGGATGTTACTTCAGAGGGTGGAAGGAGAGGGCCTGCCTTGTGGCTCATGCCCTTTAACACGAAAGTGGGCCGATCTGGGGACTTTCCAGCTCCTAGGAGTGAGCATGGGAGCCCCATGAACTTGGGGGCCTGGGGCACCAAGATACCAGGGTGTGGCATCCTTCCTATGAAGGGGCCCAGTGCTTTGTTCAGAAGGATATCTCTGGTTTAGACAATCACCTCTGTGCGTGTGAATGGCAGTGGCTTCCTCACGTGGTCCAGAAAGAGAAAGCTCACCTGGAGAGCTGACATACTCAGCATAATGAGGGAATGACTTTGAGTTTGCACCGGCTCCCTGGCTGAAAGAGGAGAACCAGCATGGACTTGCACAGATAGAGGACATGTGAAAAGACACTGGGGACAGCGCGGGAACACTGGATGCCCAAGGAGGAATGTTGGACATTAAGAAAATCCCGCAAAGACAAAGAAGCACAATGTCCAGTTTTAGTGGTTTGCCAGGCTTGTAATGAACTGCTCCTTCCCTTCGCTTAAACTTAGGGGAATTTTTACCTGTAGCAACCTGTGTTGGTGATGCTGTGGGGAGTTAAAATGGAAGAAAAAAAGTGGGGGGGGGGCAGGCTGTGAGCTATACTAGAGTCGGCCTGTGCCGAGAAGAGTCACAGAGGGTAGGTGGAGTGAAAGGAGACTTTGACCACCTGAGGACCGAGGAGCGTCCCAAGTCTTGGGAGCATCACTGGTCTCCCCACTGCTGTGGGAGGGGATGAAAAGCAATTTCCAGAAAATGACAGATGTCACAAGAAGGCTGCATGACTTCTTGTGAAGTCATAGTCCATCTTCTTGTGGAATATCCAAGCTGTAAGCATGTGAATTATAAAAGCAGTTTATAAGATGAATTCCTCATCTAGCTCCAGAAAGCCTACCACCCCCTGTCCAGGTCTCCTCAGTTTGCTCTTCGTCACTCTGATCATATAAATTCGTGCTCTAAGCATCCAGGGATTGATGTATCTGTGTTAGTAAAAATCTATATAAGGCTCTGCTTAACCCGCAAGGAAAGATCAGGGATAATGGCTCCATCTAAAAATACTAATATATGGGCTTTGGAATCCTCTATTCAGCTCAGATCACAATTTGTGCATTTTAGTTGTCTATTTATTTGCTTTCCCTTCATATTCGACGTTGCTGGTCTGTGGATCTACTCACTCCCTCTCTCTCCCACTTCCCTGTCTTCTTTCTTTGAATGTGCCAGAAGAATTTCCCACAAGATCCTTTAATTTTGGATTCAGATAGAAAATCAACACAATATTGCCCTGATGTACTCCTTTAAAGGGGTTTTGTGGCATTGGACTCTGTCCTTGATGAGGGATAAAGATCAGGTGGTCCTATAAACGATGTAGAGAAAATGAAAGGACATTTTGATGATGCCCCAGTTGTACTGAAAATGTTTATGAAAAGAGAGACATTTTTTAAAGGTCAAAGGCTTTTTAACAACCTAAGACAAAATTTCTCAAAGATATGTCAGATCATTTCCATTTTAGCTCTCTGCTTATCACTGTGGGGACAAGGAACCTAGCAGTGACAGCTCTTAACAAAGTCTTCAAAGAAAAGGCTTGTGATGTTGTATAGCTGAAATGCCAAACAAAACAATGGGGCTCAGGAGACAATTCTGGAGAGGGGCTGGAGCTTCAGGGCACTGATATGTAGCTGTCATTTGCCAGATGTAAAGTGTTTTGTAATACTTTTCTGGTTCTGGCAGTGTTCATGAAGAGTGCCCAGATCTTCCCAGGTGGGAAGATTTTAAAGTTATTAATTTATTATTATTTTAAAGATTTTAAAGTCACATGGTTGTCAGACAGGCAGAATTGGAAAGAGCCACTCTGTTCGGTATCTGACAGAGTTTGGAGTCACCTTCACAGTTTCTTTTTTTTTTTTTTTTAAATATTTTATTTATTTATTTTCAGAGAGAGAGGAAGGGAAGGAGAAAGCGTGGAAGAGAAACATCAATGTGTGGTTTCCTCTCATGTGTCCCCCACTGGGAACTGGTCCGCAACCCAGGCATGTGCCCTGACTGGGAGTCAAACCGTGATCCTTTGCTTCGCAGGCCCGCGCTCAATCCACTGAGCTACACCAGCCAGGGCACCTTTACAGTTTCTGTCATTTCCACACACTCCCCTTGTCTACCTCGCTTATCTCCTTAGGCCGTTAGATTGACTCATTAGAGAGGAGGCTTCATATTATTCAGTAAAATAAAAACTCATCTGCCATAAATAGAAGATAACCACAAAAGTGGATGAATGGCACAAACCTTTATTACATTTGACCTAAAAGTTCTTGTGGAAAACTCTCCCTGTGGTTGGCTCTCTCTTTCTTTAAAGGAGAGGTTAACAAGTGTCAGGTGTTAAAGACCAACTAGCATCAAACTCAGTCTCTCTTTGTGCCTTACAGATACAACCAGAAAGAAAATTGTAAAAGAAACAGCTTTCGCACTATGATTCTGCATTATTTAAAACCGTCTTTGTACCATTAAAGTCTCAGCTAAAAAAATTACCTTAACTGCCTGCCCCACCCTCCCCCAGGAATGTAATTCCACTCATTTGGTTCAATTTCTTTAGTTTAAAGGACCCTGAAGCCCAGAGAAGCTGGATGGAGGTTCATTCAAGGTCACGTAGGGAGGTCTTGGAAAAGCCATAAGTCTTATTTCCACTGAAGCACTCAGGGGCCCAGCTTCTTGCTGGCTGTTGACTGGAGATGGCCCTCTGCTCTGAGAGGTCACCGGCAGCTCCCTGCCATGTGAGCTTTCCCAACATGGCCAAGAACTTCATCAAGCCAGCAAGGAGAGTCTGCCACCAAGGAGGAATCTTATATAACCTAATGTAATGTGACCACTCGGGAATGGCACCGACGTTGCCATATCTTACTGGCTAGAAGCAAGTCTTGGGTTCTGCAGGTGCTCAACTGGAAGCGATCGAACGAGGGTGTGAACATCAGAAGGTGGGGACCACAGGGGTTAACCTAGAGCCTGCCCGCCACAGTGTACAAGAGGATTGAGTATGCTATTCTATTTACTTATGTTTATTTTTGAAATTTTCCACAATAAAAACAATTATTTCTTAAAAAAAAAGTCTACCATACCTACATTTTCTATAGCAAATAAATGCCTAGATTGGCTTAAATGAAAGGAACTCTACTGAGTTAACCAGGGAGCATCAACTCTGCATAGGATTCTCATCGTGCTTGTGACTGATCTTTTACTCATCTATTCAGTGTTTGCCCAATAAGCTCTGGTCTAGGGGCGAGGTGCACAATTAGACATGTCTCTGTCATCAAAAATAGTCCAGAAGGAGAGATGGACAAGTCAAGCAGGCAACTAGAGTGTGGAATAACAATTGCTGAGGCACAGCTAAACTTGGGGTTCTCTCAAAATGCAGGTGATAACTCAGAAAGCACCTTCTATTTAAAGACTAGTTCTCCTTAAAGAATCAGATGTGTTTTGCATTTTTTATTTATCACGATGTATCCCTGAAGAAAGAGATATCAGCATTATTACTAACTCTTCATCCATAAGAGTTAGGGGTCTTGGTAATGAGTGATGGTAGGTTAAAGATGGCTTTGCCATTTCTCCCAGGTAGCTTCTGAATCTGGGCTGGTGCTGGGACTAATTTGGACAAATGTTGTAGATTGAGGCAGAAGTGAAGCTCTATGACTTAAGACTGGGCCTTAAGACATCCTCACCGTCTGATTTTGTGTTCTTGGAACTCTCCTTAGAGTCCGCCAGCCTTGTAAGAAGTCCACTACCTGCGATGGGAGAAGCTGCACACAGAGGCCTGGGGCTACGTTTCACGTTTCAGCCCCAAGCCCAGCCATCTCGGATGTTTTAAGCCACTCAGTTTGGGGATGGTTTGCTATATGGCAATAAATAACTGAAACTCAGGTTGTAGCTAAGCCATGGACAAATTCTAGACTTCACTCATGGTTTTCTCATCCAGAACTCAGTGCAGAATGGTGTGGTCACTCATTCCCATCCCGTGTCACAAAACCAGAATGAGGTAGGTTCGACCAGCTACTAGGAGGCAGGCAGGGTGGTATCGGCTGAAGGTGGACCATTTCATAAAGTCTTTGTAAATGGCTTCTTTGGTTCCCTTGCACTACACTGGGCAGCTTCAAAAAGCAAAGACATTTGATACCCCCTTCCATTTCCCAGTTCATGGGCAAACTCCTAGTTGCTCCCTGGCGAGTGAGATTCTGAGGCTAAAGAGGGATTATAAACTCATCAGGTGGCTGGAATTGGCACCAAACAAAAAAACCTCTTTTGACACCAGCAAGGAGCCCGGGCACACTCACCTGAAGACATCAGCAGGACAGCCTGAAGGAGAGCTACTTCAGTGTCATCCAGGTTGAAAGAAGACAGCGACATGCCCAGGTCAAAGATGGCATCCGACACTACCCCGAGACCCCCATTTTTCAGCTGGCCCCGCGTCACTGCCATCTCCCCATTCAGGGTTAAAGTCTCACTTTCTGGGTCATAGCGCACAGCAGCGCGAAGGGACATGATCTCCATGCAGCAGCCTTTGAGGAGGATGATCTGGTCTTCACATGGCAGCTGAAAAGAACCAGCCCACATCAGCAAAGAACAGTGGACAAGGCCAGTCAGAAACATCGGGTGGTATCTTAACGGCTCCCTGGACTGGACGTTAGTCCTGAACTCTTTGGGCCTGCACTCTTGGTGGCGGTAGCTTTTCTCTCCCTACTTGGCTCCACTCTTTCAATAGCCATTGTTTCTTTTCCTTCTTTTTTTTTTAGAGCTTTGATTTTACTTGGCAAACACACAAAGTGTTTATTTATTTATTTCTTTATTTTTCCAGTACAGTTTTTTGTCTATTTCTCCCATCCCAGTGCCCCCCCCCCACCCCGTGCTCCTCACCTCCCTCCCATTTCCACCCCCCTTAGTTCTCGTCCCTGTGTCCTTCCTATTTGTTCCTCCAAATCCCTCCCCTTTTTTCCCCTTAAATTCCCTTCCCTCTCCTCTCTGGTCACTGTCCCCCTGTTCTCTATTTCAGTGTCTTTGTTTTTATTCTGCTTGCTTGTTTGTTTTGTTGTTTAGCTTCCTGTTAAAGGTGAGATCATATGGTATTTGTCTTTCAACACCTGGCCTATTTCACTCAGCATAATGCTTTCCAGTTCCATCCATGTTATTGCAAAGGGTAGTAGCTCCTTCTTTCTCTCTGCTGCATAGAATTCCATTGTGTATATGTACCACAATTTTTTGATCCATTCATTTACTGACGGGCACCTAGGTTGATTCCAACTCTTGGCTATTGTAAATTGTGCTGCTATGAACATCGATCAAGCAAGAAAAGGAAATAAAAGGCATCCAAATAGGAAAGGAGGAAGCAAAACTGTCACTGTTTGCAGATGACATGAAAATAGCCATTGCAGATGACATGGAAAATAGCCATTGTTTCTATTCCCAGTTGTAGTTTGCATTTCTTTTGTGATAGATCTCCAACCAGTATTACTGTCAGGTGTAAAAAGTCACCTCTGACTCTGGAGTTTGCATTATAGCCCAACTAACTGCTTCAGAGCTGGGCTTATGTTAAATTTGTAAACACTTTTGTCTTACATATAGCTCCAATAATCAACAGATGACTTTACTGTTTAGCTCGCAATTGTGCTTCTCCTTGTTTTGTTTTGAAGGAAGTTTGCTGCTTGAGTCTCTTAAAAGGCACAGAACTAGAAAGTCCCTTATCTTATTACCCATGAGACCCAGAGATGGAAAAGCTTTGCTCAAGGTCATCCAGTGAGTCAGGAGCAAAGGTGAGACCAGCATTCAGACTTCTGGCTCCTGGGGTTATCACCTCAGTACTTACACACCAGAGTTACTCCACACACTGTCTTGTCCTGCCAATGTGGCCATTTCTTTGTCAGCCAATTGGGTTAGTTTTTAATTAGAGCTTGTGATAATGTAATAACATTAATGATGAACTTTTAAAAAGAACTTTGCTAAGAGAAATAATTAAAAAAATCAGAGTTGCATTTTCTGAATAGGGAGAACATTTAATTAAATGCCATTTATCAAAATAGTTTGAAAGGCTATTAGTTACTAGGTTTGTTTTGATGAATTGAGCATCATGCCAAGAATTATGTGCATCACCTTATTTAATTTTCACAGCACTCAGCAAGGTACATATTCTACTTTCAATTTTATTTACAGATGAAGAAATCTGGGCACTGAGAGGTTGAGCCACATGCTAAGGGGTGGTCATGATGTTTTGTGAGTAAGGCAGGAACTGGAAGCCACATCTGCTGGAGTCCAGAGCCAGGAGAAGAAGAGAACACACTCTTTGAAGCACTCTGGGTGGGACTAAATCTCCATTAACAGTGAAAATGTAAATGACACATGACTTCCATCTCTTCATTAGGCATGTACAAATTCTTTCTGGGAAATATTCTTGGCAATGCCCAAAGTTCAATTTAGGTTATATAAAACTAAAAGTAGTATTACTGAATTGCATTTAAAATATGGGGCATTTTATATTTTTCACTAACCCAATCTAGTCACTTTCCTATTTAATTTCAAATTGCTTAGCTTTTTCTGCAGAATAAAAGTTATTACTTTTTTTGGTTCTGGGATCTATATATGTAAATTTCTTCCACTCATTAAAAAAATGACTGTGATTTGTTTTAACTTAGGTTCTAATTCGTATTGCTCCATTCCATGCTGGGAGTCCTGCCCCAAGAGCACAGTAGGAAATAGGAGACCTGAGCTTGGGTAGACCCTTTACGGGTAGACAGAGAAGTGGCTGCAGTGGGTGGAGGTTGGCTCTGGTACCTAGGGCAGCGGTTCTCACTTCAGCCCCACCAGGATCAGCGAGGGTTTGTTAATCACACACACTGCTGGCCCCGCCCTCTGAGGTTTCGCATTTCTCCAGGTTCCCACGTGATGCTCATGCTGCCCGTTTGGGGCCCCCATTCTTGAAAACCACTTTGGCACAAAATACCATAGAGAAATTACTAACTAAATCAAACCATTCATTATTATTTTTCATAAGTCACAAAGTATGCACGTTTGAAAAGGCCCCATATTTGTAGCCACATCTGATTAGAGATGAACTAGAAGTATTCTTTTTTAAACTTACTACTGATTAGTTCAAATTTAAATGAAAGTTTAACATGTATTCTTCAGGGATCACCAACGGTTTCAGAACTAGGCTAGGCATCTTTTCTCTGAAGATCCTGGTGAAATTAGTTTCAACATGTGGGTAAGCAATCTTTTAGTCATTTGCCAAAAAACACTTTCCCTGGGAAAGAGCAGGGGTCCTCCCACAGACTCTGCCTGTGCCCTTAGGAGAGCATCACTTGGGTTGATTGGCAAAGATGACAGTGCCCTGCTCTCTAGAGGGGGTCCTTATGTGTGTTCTTGGCAGCCCTGCCAACAATGCTTTCAGATCATTCAAAGCCCAGGGTGTCCACCAACCTCGCTTGGTGGGATGGTATGGATTATGGCAGAAAATTACCGTGAGCACAATTTCAATGGCAGATGCATCAAATGGCCTCTAGCAAGAAACCTGACTCTTGAGATCCCGTGGGATCTCCAGCCCACTCCATACATAGGTAGCGCAGGGAGCCACACAGTTCTTTTCCCAATCTGGGCACCAAGGACAGTGTGACAGTCAAAAGTGCTCAGGAGGCCACACACACCACAAACATACTCATCTCTGCTGTACCAGTGGCACATTTATGTACTTATTTTTTGTAGTTTGGACACTACAAGATACTAGGGTTGAAAGAGAGATGGAATCATAACTTTGAAGCCAGCTCTAACTGCTGAGGGAAGCTTGAAAAGTTCCATGTGGACCCCTCACCTACCACACACATTAGCACACGGCGTGTTTGTTATTGGTGGTGGAGATGGCTTTTCTTTCTTTAACTAAAATAGCTCTTCAGTGATTGATGTACATGAGCTTTACATTTTCTAAAAAAAACATTTTTGGTGCCTATCAGAAGAACACACGGCCATCAGGCTAGCTCAGGTCATAGGGGTAGCAAATTCAACCGTGTCTACTTAGACAAAGGGACTGGGAGATGAGAGACAGCCCAAGAGAGAGAAAACTGAGAAAGGTCTGGGAAAATTTACTCAACCCAATGAACAAAAGAATGATGCAACCCGAATGAGAGGAAACAAGCCCCTTCGGCACAGATGTCAGAATGTGTGCCTTCTTTCTTGAGGGCAATTTGCAACACACATAGCAGAAGCGTTAAGGAAATAATACTGTGAGCAGTGAGCGCATAGGCACCAGAATGTGTACTCCAGAATATTTATATGAGAGAAAAACTGGAAGTAAACTCCAGATCCAGTAAAAGCAGATAACCTAAACATGGTAGAGCTAGTCTTTTGGATACTGTGGTCATTAAAAATTATTTTGTGAAAGAATACTTAAATCATTTGTTTTACAGTTGAGTGTAAAAAGGTACAATGGGGCTAGTACCATTTTGTTTTTTTTATCTCAGCGCTGATTGTGTGGGTGTGTTAAGTGTGTGAAAATTCATTGAACTGCACACTTATGATATGAGCTCCATACTCTTCAGTAGAAGGTTTAAAAAAGTAGTTTCATGAGTAGAAAGTACATTATGGTATAAATTATATTGATATATTGGCTATATTAGCCATTATTGGCTAATAATGGCTAAAAAGTTTGTAAGGTTTTTTCTGTAAAATAAAAGACACATTTAAAAATATATATATTTTATTGATTATTCTATTATTATAGTTGCCCCAACTTTGCCCCCTTTATTCCCCTCTGCCCAGCACCCCCCCACCTGCATTCCTGCCCCCCATTAGTTCATGTCCATGGGTCATACATATAAGTTCTTTGGCTTCAACATTTCCTATACTATTCTCAACCTTCTCCTGTCTATTTTCTACCTACTATTTATACTAGTTATTCCCTGTACCTTTTCCCCCATTCCCCCATCCTCTCCCCACTGATAATCCTACATGATCTCCATTTATGGGATTCTGTTCCTGTTCTAGTTGTTTGTTTTTGTTTTTGAGGTTCAGTTGTTGACAGTTGTGAGTTTGTTGTCATTTTACTGTTCATATTTTTGATCTTTTTTCTTAGATAAGTTTCTTTAACATTTCATATAATAAAAACTAGGTAATGATGAACTCCTTGAACTTGACCTTATCTGGGAACCACTTTATCTGCCCTTCCACTGTAAATGATAGCTTTGCTGGATACAGTAATCTTGGATGTAGGTCCTTGCTGTTCATGACTTGGAATACTTCTTTCCAGCCACTTCTTGCCTGTAAGGTCTCTTTTGAGGAATCAGCTTACAGTCTTATGGTAATTCCTTTGTAGGTAACTGTCTCCTTTTCTCTTGCTGCTTTTCAGATTCTCTCCTTATCTTTAATCTTGAGTAATGTAATTATGATGTGCCTTGGTGTGTGCTTCCTTGGGTCCAACTTCTTTGGGCTTGGAAGCTCTCTGAGCTTCCCAAACTTCCTGGAAGTGTATTTCCTTTGCCACATTGGGGAAGTTCTCCTTCATTATTTTTTCAAACAAGTTTTCAATTTCTTGCTCTTCCTTTTCTCCTTCTGGT